ATCTTGTTGATCACCGGCTGCAGCCATGGTTCAGATTGAGTCCAGGGTCAAAAATGGCTGGCAGATTATACAATGAGATTTTTTTGGCATTGTGACATACAACCCTAAATTTACATAAACCCACACCGACAAGTGACATTTCCTTCAAGGTTTACTACTTAGAGAGGACTTAACAGACCATATAAGAATAGAAACATTGTTATAGAACAAAATGTAAAATTCTGTATATGACAAATAATTTGATAGAAAAAAACTAAAAAAAACTAAAAACTGCAATAACCCTAACCCACACAAACAAATCATGAATACATGGTGCACTGCACCACATAAACCCAATCAAGCCTTAAATTCTGATTGACAATCCATTTAGGTCACAAATGTAATCCAGAAAAGTCCATATTCTTTTTCTAACTCCATACCCTTCCCAGCCCTGGCATCATCAGCAGACTGATCTCCATGGCAAGAGCATCGACTGTAATCTGCTCCTGAGGGACTGGGAAGAAAAGATTGGAGGGAATAAAAAGCAGAGAACGGAAGCCGAGACTGAATAAGTAGACAGGGAAAAAAAGAGGAAGACAATGCTGGGTGGAGGTAATTAGCATAATGCTTAATCTGTAAACATCTATGGGAGCGTGGAAAGACTGAGAGAGTGAGGTGGAATAAGAGAGAGGAAGAAACTGCTGAGCCACTGGAGTCTGCAGTTTATTCTAAATGGACGACACACATTGGGGAAGTGGAGAAAATTGAGGGGAAAGGTGAGAGAACAAAAGAAGGAAGCTTCCAGGTTTTTGGAAAGAAAATAATACTTTTTATTCAGCAAGGATGTACTATATATTAATTAAAAATGTAACAGCTAGGATTTTTGGGAATTTCTGTTGATAAAAAAATCCTAATCACGGCTTGCACAAAGGTGGAAAATGATTCTTGAGCACCAAGTAAGCAGAGAATTTACTCACCCTCTGCTTATTCTAAACCTAAGTTACTTTCTTATGTTAGATGCACTGAAGAATGTTGTAACCATAACCCCTGGTTAATTTGTGATCTAAATTTTGCAGGCTCTAATAACTCCACTGTTTAATAAATCATCCTCAAATTTACCACTTGTAAACAATGGGGTATATGCACACAGACTTTGAATTTTTAGTCAGCCAGCCCAATCACTTCCAGTTAACTGTTGCATCATTGCAAAATCACTGCATTTACACTCTAAAAACTGCTGGGTTGAAAACAACCCAATTTGGGTTGTTTTGGTAACCCAGCGCTGGGTAAAAAAGGGACAAACCCAACGCTGGGTTACTTTAACCCAGCAAGTTGGGTTACAAGTTTAACCCAGCATGCTGGGTTGTGATTTTAACCCAACTATTAGTTAAAAATTACTACACTGCTGGGTTGAATTTAACCCAAAATGGGTCAGAAATTTAATCTAGAAACTGATGATTAAAATCACTAAAATAAAAACAATTCTACAGCAATACATAGTTGTTCAGTAATGGAATTTTATTTATGACAAAAGATAAAATGTGTCCAAATGAATTTGAGATTTTTCCCATCTGCACCTCAGCATTAACCCTTTGACTGCATGCTCTACCAAATGGTTGACCTCGTTTTTACTGTTTTAAATAATGACTGTTAAAGTCATAAGAAAAAAGATGATTTAGTGTTCAAAATATTTATATATATATATATATATATATATATATATATATATATATATATATATATATATATATATATATATATATATATATATATATATTTTTTTTTTTTTTTTTTTTTTTAAATTGGTCTTACACATAATTTTTCAGATTTTTCATAATTCTGGTACTTTTACCATAAACATACATATCAATCATTTGGTAGAGGTTGATATTTTAGAAATTATAACATGTGTTAAAATGTACTGATTGTGTTCAATAGCGACATTAGCAGTTGAGAAATGCAATCCAATTTTTTTTCTTGAAAGGGTTGTTAAAGGGTTAAGACGATTTCTGTGAAAATTTATCAAACTGTATCACAGAAACACTGACTAAAGTTCAGTAACAATGCATCAGACTGAAATCAGACAAATTACTTTAAGAAAATGCATATTTGAAATACATTCAAAAACATTTGCATCATTTATAAATCAGGAATCATCAGTAAGGCAATTGCAATGTTATTGCAGAGTAGAGAAAAACAATAGTATAAGGAAGTAATAATGAAAATGCATCTAAATGACTGAAGTCAGAAAGTAATTTGAGCACAAACATCAACATATTCTCATATAAATCATCAACTGCAATGCAGAAAAAATATGTGAAAGTAATAATGAAAAGGCATCAAACAGCTTGAAAAAAACAAAACAAACAATAAAAACTAAGAAAATACAAATTTTATATTAAGAAAAAATAAGAAAACATTTTATAACTTTCCCTTTAACAATTATGTGCAAACATCAATATATGAGCTATAAAGCAATCATCAGTAAGGATGATCAAGTTCAATGTAAATGCAGTTTTGAAGAAAAAACAGATATAAAAGTTAAAATTAAACCTGAGGATGGAAGCATTTTAAAACAAATTTGAAATAGGAAAACTTTTTTTAACTTTTACTCGAACAATCATGTGCAAACTTCAATCCTGAGATATAAAAGAGTCTGTAAGAAACATTAGTTGCAATGTAACTGCAGTGTAGAGTGTCTTAAAAAATATCTAGTCCATTATTATGTGCCGTCATCATAGCAAAGAGAAAAGAAATCAGTTATTAGAAATGAGTTATTAAAACTATTCTTTAGAAATGGGTGTCATGGTGGCACAGTGGGTAGTACGATTGCCTCACAGCAACAAGGTCGGTGGTTTAAGCCTCAGCTGGGTCAGTTGGTGTTTCTGTGTGGAGTTTGCATGTTTTCCCCGTGTTCGTGTGGGTTTTCTCTGGGTGCTCCTTTTCCCCCACAATCCAAAGTACAAGTTAAAGAACACAGAATCCAAGGAAGCAGTGAGGTCACAGTATTAATGATTACTGTTTGTCAGCAAAAATTAATGCTAGCAGAACCCTTACTGCTAGTGTCTCCTCCCCAGGATGTCCATAAACCACAGTCTGCCACACCAGGGAACACTGCTTGGGGTAGTTCACACCAAAGATGTAGAATGCTTTATAGCAAACGTCCACTTTGGCAAGTAATGTACTTTGCAATAATAAATAGCACAGCACGTGAGCAAAGGCTTGAAAGAAGTGGTGGTCTCCAAGGATGAGAACATGAGGAAACTCAATAGATTCTTGAATTCAATGGATGAAGATACTCAGCAATATTGGTCCCAATCTGAAAAAATAAATAGAATTAAGATTTATTAAAAACTCAAAAGTGTAAAAGTTAAATATCTTTAGAGTTAACTTTAGAACACCTAAAATACCTTTAGAAGCAATTAAGGCCATAACACACCAAGCTATCAGCCAGTGTTGGCATTAGTTAACCACTGACCATGGCACCATGCTGCAATTTTTTGGCCCGAGTGAAGATGACAATGCAACAACAGGTTTGCCTAAGGAACTTTTTTTAATAAGTAATAGTAAGGCAAGATGAGCATTTGAAATTATTAAGTATTTAATTGTGTTTTCTTAATGAGAATAGATAAGACCCTTCTTCCTGAGCTGGGACTGTTTGCAACCGTATTTGTATCATTTGAAGCCGCATTTAAATTTTCTTTAAAAACTTCAAAAATGAGGCACAATCTCAGTTCAAGATGGATAAAATTGCTGAAATATTTTCCTAAAAAAAAAATCTTTCTGACTGAAGAAAGAATGACATGAACATCTTGGGTGACATCTTTTTATGTTTTACGCAGCAGATGCCCTTTCAACTGCAACCCATCACACTCTCATTTAGACACACACTATGGACAATTCAGCTTACCCAATTCAGCTACACCGCATGTCATTGGACTGTGGAGGGGAAACCCATCCAAGGCTCAAACCAGCGACCATCTTGCTGTGAGGCGACAGCACTACCCACTGCGCCCCCATGCCACCCTAATAACAAACATAAAAATAACATTTTCATTGTTAATAAAATAACTAAGACAATCATTATGCATTAAATGCATCATTATGCATCGAGAAACCTTTAATTGAATCCTTACCCTCTGAATTGTATTCAAATTGACCTAAAAACGAGGAAAAGTTCGCTCCTGTGCTAAAAATAAAACAAGAGAATGTCACTGGTTGCATGAACAGCAGATTTTAAAAAATAACCAGACAAAAACAAATTGGCATTAGAGTTCAATCTCTCAGTTTAAAGTGTTGAAGTGGCTAATGATTACTAGGACTGCCCCCTAATAATTGAATAACCATTAGTCAACTAAAAATTTATTATTCATTCATTCATTTTCTTTTTAGCTTTGTCGCTTTATTAATCTGGGGTAACCACAATGGAATGAACCACCAACATATCCAGCATAAGTTTTATGCAGCGAATGCCCTTTCAGCTGCAACCCATCACTGGGAAACGAATACTCATTCACACACATACATCATTGACAATTTAGTCTACTTAATTCACCTTTACCACGTCTTTGGAAACCGGGGCACCTGGAGGAAACCCACGCGAACACGGGGAGAACATGCAAACTCCACACAGAAAGGCCTATTGACCCAGCCAAGGATCGATCAAGTGACCTTGTTGCTATGAGGCAAATGTGCTACCCACTAGTTGCAGAAAAAAAGTCCACACTGGCAAAGTCAATGTATGCTGCATGAATCCGCTGTGTAAAAAATATGCTGGATAAGTTGGCGGTTCATTCCGCTGTGGCGACCCCAGATTAATAAAGGGACTGAGTCAAAAAGAAAATGAATTAATGAATAAATGGTTTATTAATAAATCTGTAATTATTCAACTAATGCTTCAAATGAACATCACAAGTCAACCAGACAAATGTTTAGACAAGGGCAGCCCTAATGATTACAATGAACCAAGTAAAATATTATTACATACCTTCAAATGTGGGGATTAACTCCTCAAGATTGCATTCTTTTAGTTTGATTTTCACGCAATTATCCATCTGAAAAAGAATAACAGATAAAAGCGTTTAAGCAAAATTAAGTAAAAAAAGATCATGTTAGCCAAAAGTCACTATATCACAAAAATACTCCTAAATGATAATAATTATCCAGGGTGTCACATAAAACGGTGGTCAAACTTTTTCTTTTTGCAGTCGAAGATGATTAGGTTGGAATTAGCCTTAGCTCAGACATTTCCGTTAGCATGAAACGACCCTTACATACAGGATTAATTAAAGATAGCTCAAATCACGTCTAGAATGTAAAATGATCATAGTAAATTAATAACATTTGCTATTCAATGTACAGCTAAACAAAATGTACATGCAGAGCAGGACAATTATTGTATATATTTTGATAAAAAAAAAAAACATTGTTAGAAGCTGAATTCAACACTTATGCATCAAAGTATTGTCACAAAAATCCATGAACAAACTTAAGAAATACAAGAGTAAAAATACTACTTACTGCTTTACAGTTAACACCCCAGAAAGATCACAAATCACAGTAACGTTACTTACTGTCATCACCTAGCCAACATAAAAATCTGTGTCATTCAAAAGGCATTTTATTACAATAAAAAGCTCCTAAATTATCCTAGGTGTTGTGTTTATAAAGTGGTCATCAAACATGCTTCACGTTAGTTTCATTAGTTACCTTATACTTTTCGAGCTCCTTCCGATGCCATGCGCGCTTACCCGTCCACCGATCAACAGGCTGGGCGTGAGGCGAGCACAGGTCAGGTGTTACCGTACGTTCACACCGAAAGCGGCGAGAGCGTCAAAGTAGCCGGAAGTCATTCATTTTCAATGAGAGCCGGCGGCGATACGCGGCGATAAGCGGCGATGAGCAGCGCGACGCGTCTTCGCCGGCGTGAGCGTCGAGGAGAGTTGAAATGAAGTCAACTTTATGGTAATGAGCTATGACGCGGTTCGGCGGCAAGCAATCAGAATGAAGACGTCCATCGCTTGATAGCAGTTCAGAGAACACAGACCTGTGAACTTTGGTTCCGACCACAGTTGTTCCCAAGGGTTTGATTATTGCGGTCGCCGGATTTCCAATTATTTCCAATTTTTTCCTACAGGAACATACATTAAATAAGTTACTGGCGAGTTACTGATGTTCATTAATGTTATATAAATTTATCTTAAAAAAGCGGGAATCTCACGCGATGTGACAGTACAAAACAGTACTGCTGCTTCAGGATATTTCAGACGTATGGACACATATTGGATAAAAAGAGCAAAGCCACACCACACGCAACTTTATCTTCCATTGTTGTATGAATTTGATAAGAAGTGCGCAACATTTTCACGCTAGAAACATGTTTTTTGCAGGAATGTAACTGATATGCTGCAACGGCTCCTTTAAATATGAGATCAATGTAGCGAGTTTTGACGCTCTCGCCGCAGGAGCTGAAGGCAGAGAGCGTTGTCACCAGGGCGGCAAGAGCGACCTTGGACGCTCTCGCCGCTTTCGGTGTGAACGTACGGTTAGGCGGAGCAACAGCTCGGGCGTTAGGCGGAGAAACAGGTCCGGAGAAACAGGTCGCCGTTAGGCGGAGAAACAGGTCCGGAGAAACAGGTCGCCGTTAGGCGGAGAAACAGGTCCGGAGAAACAGGTCCGGAGAAACAGGTGGCTCGTCAGGCGGACTCGGAGCAACAGTTCAGCCATAAGGCGAGCACAGGTCAGCGTGAGGCGGAGCAACAAGTCGGCCATCAGGCGGAGAAACAGAAAAAAAAGCGCGTGTATATTATACTAAGTAAACTAAGTGTGTTATTTCTTATGAAAATTGTTAAATACACACTAAATAACTTACGTCTCACACAGAATTTCACTCGCTTCCCCTCAAAGACAGCGCAAAGAAAATGGCGGTTTCTCACGTTGATGTCCCTGCATGTTGACGTGACGTGCGTGCTCTCTTTCACGTCCGCGTTCCCAACCCAGCACTGCTGGGTTATAGATAAAGATCGATTTTCAACCCAAATTGGGTTGAATCAACCCAATTTTGTTACCCAGCAGTCTCAACCCAGCATTTGGGTTAAAAAACCAACCCAGCGTTTTTTAGAGTGTAAGATCTGATTTCTTTAAAAATCTTTGATCTTCACTGCCTGTTTGAGATATGATAAAAACTGGGTCTTATACCGGACAAGAAGCACTGAATTAAATTACATTGTTTTGCGTCATCTTTAAAAAACAAAAATGCATTCTACTACAGTATTTTCAATGAAGTTTCTGCACTAGTCTGCTGCTCCTGAAGGCACTTGCGTTTAACTGGTCTTTCATTTCGACTTTACGATTAAACAACTAAACAAATGCTTAAGTATATTTAACATTGTGTTTTACATTACAACATTGATGCTATAAAAGGAACCGTATAAAATTGTAAATGGTCACATAAACCTTTCACCAAAAGTGTATAGTTTGGCTGAAAAACACTAACTGTGCATATAGCTCATTACACATTGTTATCCCTCCTGCCATTCACTGAACACGAATGCAAAAACGCAAGAGCTGCATCCAAATCGTTAGTGCTCATCTTACTGGATGACACAGCAAGCCACCAAATTTACTTAGCAACCCTCAGAACAATGGCTATTTCAGGAACCACACTCCAGTGGATCAGCTCTTACCTCTCAGCTAGGTCATTCAGGGTATCTTAGATGGGTGAACTATCTGAGCCAAACCATCTTGCTACTGGGGTGCATCTGGGGTTTGTTCTTGGACCGTTAATAATAACTGCAAATGTAAACCAGACAATTGATGTTAACCAATGACCTGCTGATCTACTGGGATTTTTACACACAACTATAGGGTTTACAGAGAATGGTTCGAAAAAGAGAAAATATCCAGTGAGCGGCAGTTCTGTGGGCGCAAATGCCTTGTTGATGCCAGAGGTCAGAGGAGGCTGGCAATACAAATCCTCTCAAAACTTGAACATCACAATGTGTTCACTGTGCTCAAATGGTCTCCACAGCCACCAGATCTCAATCCAATAGAGCACCTTTGAGATGTGGTGGAACAGGAGATTCGAATCATGGATGTGCAGCTGACAAATCTGCAGCAACTGTATGATGCTATCTTGTCATTATGAACCAAAATCTCTGAGGAGTATTTCCAGAACCTTGTTGAACCTATGCCACAAAGGATTAAAGCAGTTCTGAAGGCAAAAGAGAGTCCAACTCGGTACTAGAAAGGTAATAAAGTGGCCAGTGAGTGTATACCATAATATATTATATTGTGTCCAAGAGGGGAAAAAAAAGAAAAAAATACTTTATACAAGTTTGAAGGTTCAAGAGATGCATGTGCCTATAATCCAGTCACCACACAAGAAATGGCTGGTTACCTCGCTCCAGACACAATCCTTCCGATATATGGTAGAGATAGAGAAAATTGTAGATAATGGTATAACTCAGTGGGAACACTGCTCTGATTGTTCTGTAGGAGGAAGGAGCCCTGGTGAGTTATATTTCAGACAGAGTGATGGCTCAGCGGCAGCTTCTGAAAAGAAAAACCCATAAAATGCAATACGTTTTCTAACACAAGCAATGAGCTACAGGCAAAAAGACACTAAACCATACAGCAGCTACACAGACAGACGTGTTGGGAGAAAAAAAAAACTCTGAAAGCTATGAATTCTTATTGGAATATGCTGCATTGGCTGAACAAAATGCTCTTTTGGCACTAGAAAATATTTAGCGACTGCCAGACAGTCTAGATGAGAGGTAAAATTAAATATATAATATGAAAAAAAAAAAAAAATTAACAGTCACACAATTTTATGGTACAACTCTAGCTAACAACATACCATTAACTACTTAGCTCAATAAACAGCTAATTGATAATATAATATAAGCAAAAATAATTTTTGCTTATTAATAGTTATTAAGGTAACAGTTGGGTTTAGATCATCGATTAGGGATGTAGAATATGTACTTATTAATTACTAATAAACAATATCTTTATAATTGGCAAGTAATAACAACAGTCGATAGTGAGAATTGGTCCTTTTATTAAAAATGTCAATAAATCAATGACAAATCTAGCAGATTCATTTCAGGGAACTGATTTGTTCAGATGTTTTATGTAAATTAGAATAAATATTTCTTTGCTTTCATTTGATATTAGCTTTCATGTAGGAGTATAATATTGTTTGTTGTCTGCAAAGGTTCTAAGATCTAACTGCACAATAATTGTAGCTATTGTCTCCCAAAAGAAAGAATTGATACTGAACTGCCTAAAATGAGCAGTTAGTATTTCCAGATTTAATTACTGCACAAACCTACTAACAGGCGCATCAGACCAAAACTTGGAACCATCATTTCATAATATGTGGTCATACAAGGACTTCAGTACATATATTAACAATACCAATATCTGGTTTCAAATATCCCTTTTAATTAGAGATTAAAGGTCCCGTGATATCTATCAACTAGTGTGCTCCAAAACAGTGACAAAATTAACGTTTAGAAAATATAAAACTGATATAAACATTCAAAGCTTGCAGTTTGTCACTTGCGTCTTTTCCTTTTTTTTTTTTTCTTATCTCAAATCTTGACCAATCAAATGCTCTCTAGTATCTAGCTCTCTAGAATTCTTGACAATTGTTTATTCCCATGATATCTAATTCAACTGTAGGCGGTGGATCTTTCTCATATTTGGCACCTAAAGTCTGAAACAGCCTTCCTAGCACATTTTGGGAAGCAGACACACTCTGTCAGTTTAAACCTAGATTAAAGACACATCTCTTTGCACTAGCATACACATAAAACACAAAGGCTGAATTAATTAGGGCAACCACAGATGAGAACACTTTCCAAAAGACTTTATGATCTGAACGGCATCTACGCTTATGTAACTCCCCACCCACCAGGGGCTTCAGTGTCAACGCTTGACAGAGGGTATGTCTCAGGGCTGACACGATCGTCATAGCAGCGGCAGCCAATGGAATTAGTCAGCAGTCGGCCATTGTCTGAGCTGGTGTATTTGTATACGATCTGATTGGCTGACGCTTCCATTGGCACTTGAAAAGTTGAGAAAGTCCCAACTTTTGCAGCGAGCAACGCCACTGAAGCGACACCAACAAATCCACAATGTAGTTTAGCAACGCCTGCCGTCACCCATTTAAAGTCAGTGGCCAAAGGAGAAATATTCTTTCTCGACTGAGCCTGTTTTTTTTTTTTTTCTCCTTTCGTTGATTGGTGAAGTTTGGTTTTTTGCCAATTTCGCCATTGGCATGCTTGGTTTGGGACTTGGGAGCTGCGCATCGATGGATTTGCTCTTCAATGTTTGAACTTTCGCCTCCTTTAAGACGCTTCTCATTTGCTTTCCATTTGATGCACTTAATTTCAGCCACGCTCACTGTCAGAACTGATTTAAAAAAAAAAAAAAAAAACTAAACTTAAATGTCCCACCCTCTTCATTTTTCAGCTGGGATTAATGTCAAACAATAAAAAGATGCACATTTCAAAGCGCTTCATGGGACCTTTAAATTAGAGTTAAGGGAACATAGTGGCTTATTTTGTGAAGTTATCTCAGCCAGTGCAGTGGCTTCCAGTTCTCTCTCATTGTTTCACATTACAAAACACCAAATCCAGTGAACAAAGATGCAAATGGCATTAAAGATTCACAAGGATGTGCTAGTCCTCAATTGAGCTCAGCTCCTCACTGAGGTATCAGCACACACACAAACACACAGGAGAAAAGAAATCCAGCATCAGCACAGCACAGGAAAACACTTTCAAAGCGCTGCAGGCATGCTGGAGGTGGAGTGTGTGTACTGTTTGTGTGTTGGTGTGTGTGTGTTCGCTTGCCTGTACATCTCCATCATGTTTATTTTTTATTTTGCATCATACATGTCATGT